GGGGGGGGGGGGGGGGGGGGGGGGGGGGGGGGGGGGGGGGGGGGGGGGGGGGGGGGGGGGGGGGGGGGGGGGGGGGGAGAGAGGATGGGGCGACCCAGGAGGCGCGGAAATACGGGAGATGGGGTGATTGGAGTGGGGGTGCAGTGGCTGGTGCCTGGAGCCGAGGGCGGCCCGCCGGGCCCGGACCTGCACGCCCGGCCGGCCGCGAGAAGAATGGGGCCGATCGCGATTGAGCGGGCGGCGTCCCGGGCGGATCACATGCGCACGATCACACCGAGAGGCACACCGACTGGATCGTTGGCACAAGGCCCCATGGGGCCGGCTCTGGGGAAGGGGGTGGGGGCGCGTTCACCGTTGCGACCCCCCGGCGGCCCCTGGGTGTGTGTGTGTGGGCCGGCAACTGGGTGTTTCCCCCGGCCCCGGCCCACTGCCACTTCCCGGGCCCTGTGTGCTCTGTGAGCGTGGGTGCGTGGGTGCGTGCGTGGGTGCGTGCGTGCGTGGGTGCGTGCGTGCGTGAGTGTGTGTGCTGCCTGTGCGCTTTCCCGTGCGCCGGGTGGACCGCCTCGCGCTTGCCCATACGCGGGGACCGGCGGCTCGCCTCGGCATTCGGTCTGCCGCACGGGCGGCTGGGGACCAGCGGCCGGGGGGCTTCTTCTGTGCCGGAATCGCGCATTTCCGGCCGGCCTGCAGGTGGGAACGCCCCAGACGGCACCTTGGCCACCGCCTGCCGGCGACGGAAGTGGACCATAGTTGACTGGCCTCTAGGTGGGGGGGGGGGGGGGGGGGGGTGTATATTTCTCGGCACTGGGGGGGACGCAGGGTGGCCCTAGCCTCGGCTCCCCTCGCGCCGGGGGCCACTCTGGAACATGTCGGCCTCGATGTGTGTGCGTGTGTGTCTCTCTCTCTCTCTCTCTCTCTCGTGCGCGCGCGCGCTCCGCTCGGGCCTTCCTGCGTGCCCCCCCGTTCTTTGAAGCATTCGCCAAGACCCTGCTGTGTCGCTCGGCGGCGGGGGGGGGGGGGGGCGGCGGGGGGGGGGGGGGGGGGGGGAAGATGCTGTGCCAACGCCCGGCCGGCGACAGGCCTGCCCGCGACCCGGGGCTCCTCACTGGTCGCCCCGCTCGGCGTGGCTAACGTCACGTATATGTGTCATTCGGGCCGCTGGCGTCGAGGGGGGGAGGCCTCTAAGCGACAACCCGCCCCCACAGGACGGGGCCGAGGCGACCATCTCACATGGTGCCTAAAGCCTCGGCTCCCCTCGCGCCGGGGGCCACTCTGGAACATGTCGGCCTCGATGTGTGTGCGTGTGTGTCTCTCTCTCTCTCTCTCTCTCTCCTGCGCGCGCGCGCTCCGCTAGGGCAACCAGTCAGGAACACAGTCATCGGAACGGGGCTCGCGGCTGGTGGCTGTGGGTGAGCGGTGCGGGGGGGGGGGGGGGCGGCAGGGCGGGACGGGCACCCAGGAGCATGCTGTGCCGTGCCGTGCCCAGACACAGGCACGCCCGCGACGCCGTGGGGCTTGCGCATCTGTTAACCTTCGGGGGCACCTACGGAGAAAGGGTGCTATCGTGTTCCTGGGATGCGGAGCCGGAACGCGCCGACAACGAGCACAACAGGGGCCACGCGAAGGTCGGCATTCTTCGAAGGGGCACTGAGGGGGTTCTTGTCCAGCGTCGCTTGCCCCCCTCCCCCCCCCCCCCCGGGGTGGGCTGCGGGAGGCGGAGTAGCCTCCCAGGGGCTGCTAGCCAGTATTTCTGTGTCTGGATGCGTCTGCCTGGCGTGCAAGTGTCCGGTGTGCATGTGTGTGCACACGATTGGAGTGCCTCGGCGTAGGCTTATGTGCGGCCGGGGGGGGGGGGGAGGGCCGAGCCAGATGCCCCGTTCAGCGTGCCTGTGTGTGTGTGTGTGCGTGCGTTACGCCGGCAAGGAGGGACCCTCTCGGACTCCGGAGGGGAAGCCCCAAGCCAGGGCCAGGCCCGGGGTGTCGTGCGTGGTCGCGCTGTGTTCGGCAGTCGCACATGCCCCCCCCCCACCCCCACCCCCTGCCCCGGGCGCAGAGAAGGTGGTGAGCGGCAGGGGGGGGGGGGGGCGGGAGGCGATGGCACATCGGCGGCCGCCAAGCGCCTGAGAGCCCCTGGGCCCGGAATCCCCCAGTATGAGACGGCGGTCTTCGCAGGCAGCGGGCCGGACAAGGGGCCGAGGGAGGGCCGCCCCGGCGCGCATGAGGCCCACACGGGGGAGGGGGGGGGGGGACCCGGGGCACGGTTGCCGGCGCCGCTGCGCCGACGGGCGCGCCACGGCGCTCCCTACAAAACGGCCTCCAGCATTCCTCAGGCCCCGGCTGTGCGGAGTGCAAGCCCCGGGCGCGAAGAGGGCCACTGCGTGGGAGCAATGCACCTGGGCCGGCGGGCCGGAGCAATGGTGCCTCACCAGCCCGGGGGGGTGCGGGCCTCTGCCGAGCATCGCACCCGGCGGGCCTCCGGACAGCAGGCCCGGTGGGTGTGTGAAGGGATGACAATAGCAGCGCGCGGCCTTCAGCCCGGGCGGGCGGTGGACCCGAGGCCTGGGATGCTGGAGTAAACAACAACAGCCGCAGCAACAGCCGCAGCAGCAACAACAACAACAACAACATCAGCATTTACTGCAGCGGCATGCGCAGGCGTGCGGGGAAATAGCAATAACTCCCATGGCGCGCTCGCAGGGGGGGGAGGGGGGGGGGGGGCAGGACCGCAAGGGGCAGATGCCAGAGAGAAGCATTCCCGCCCGGCGGTGGCATCCGCACTCGGTCTGGCCCTGCCCCGTTGGCTGCGGCGTGAGAAGTGAAACGTCTTCAGCCTTCCGGCTGCCCACTCGCGGAAGGGCGAGGATTCTCACGTAAGTGCATACCCCGGCTGAGGCCCGGCCGGCGGAGCCCCGAGGCGGGCTGCCTTCTTCTTCTTGGCCAGCCGGCCGGCCGGCCGGCCGGCCCGCGCGCCCTGTGGCATGCGCACCGAGACCCGGGCTACCTGCCAGCGCTTGCCCTGACATGGGAGACCCCCTTCGCCCGACGGACCGGGGGAGATGTGTCCGAGAGCATCGGTCGGGCAAAAAAAAAAAAAAAAAAAAAAGGCACCACGCACGACTAACGAAGGACATGCGCCGCGCCGGCGGCCGGCCGAGGAGCATACCAGCGCCAGCCCGGGCCAGGCCCCCCCCTCCCCCGGGGGCCATTGACGGCTGGTCTCCCGCGGTGGGGGCAGCGATCTCGCCGAAGGCCCGGTGGCTGTCCCGCCGGCCACTGTTGACGAGGCGATTGCGGGGCCGGAGCGGGCCCGGGCAGGCTGGCCTTCGCCATTGGCGAGCCCGGCCACCGAGGCAACGGCGATCCCCCCCCCCC